GGGGCCAGTCCTGTGTAACATCTTTATCAATCATCTGGACAAGGGGATTGAGCATACCCTCAGGAAATTTGCAGATGACACTAAGCTGGGTGGAAGTGTTTATTTGCTTGAGGGCAGGAAGGTTCTACAGAGGGATCTGGACAGGTTGGATCAATGGGCTGCAACCAACTGTATGAGGTTCAACAAAGCCAAGTGCTGAGTCCTGCACTTGGGTCACAACAAGCCCATGCAACGCTACAGGCTTGGGGCAGAGTGGCTGCAAAACTGCCTGGCAGAAAAGGACCTGGAGTGCCTGAGGGAGCTGGGGTTGTTGAGCCTAGAGAAGAAGAGGCTAAGGGGAGACCTTATCACTGTCTACAACTACCTGAAGGGAGGTGTTTGTCTTTTCTCCCAGTAACTAGTGATAGAACAAGAGGAAATGGCTGTAAGTTGCAGCAGGGGATATCCTGATTGGGTATCAGGAAAAATTTCTTCACTGAAAGGTTTATCAGGCACTAGAATGGGCTGCCCAGGGAGGTGGCTGAGTCAACATCCCTGGAGGTGTTTAGATGAGTAGAAGAGGTGCTCAGAGATACAGTTTAGTAGTTGGATAGGTACGGTTGGACTCAGTGTTATCAAAGGTCTTTCCCAACCAAGTGATTCTATGATTCTATGAAATATTTCAGCACAGTGATCTAATTAGAGACCCATGCATATCTTCACTACTGTCATTTACCTGAATTTACAGAAACTTTTAAATTTGCATAATCAAGGATGCTGGTACTTCTGAATTAGATTTCACAAAGCCAAAGCACACTAATTCCAGCCCTTCAAAGTTTAGGTCTTGAGAAAAATGGTCTCACCAATCACACGCCTCTCTTATCTAAAATCACATTTGAATCATCACATCATTCATCCTCTGCTTTTTATTTGTTTGAATTACAACAGCAGTCCAGAGAAAAAAAGATGAGTCTGCTCTTTGCCAGCACTTTCCTCATCTCACACACATGCTTAATTCTACTGTCCCAGGGCTAGTGCATATCTTAGCTTGTATGCTTTGGTTTTTCGAAGAATATAAGTTTGGATTACCTGAGGGCACTTCTCAGATATTCAGAAAAGTTCAGAACGTGGGCTTTTGTTCTCCTTAGTCATTGCTATTGCCCTACCCATGCAGTAAACTTGAAATCTTTAAGCAAATTTTTTAAAAAGTTGCGTAAGACTGTAATGACTTAAACAACATGCTCACATACAAATGAACCACCCAAATCCCTTGTATGATTTTCCAGTTCAGTCAGATATGATTGTGTCTGCCACACTATTGCTTCCTAACTATATTAAATATTCCTTGTGAGGCAGAACGCTCATGAAGAGTCTAACTGACATTCTGAATTTCGTATTTAGCCTCAGTGACACACTGAATGTCACAGAGTACACAAAAAATAAGATTGCATTTTAATGGGATACATGAATAAGTGACATGGGAAGTATAGAAGTGAGGGGAAAAAAACAGGTTTAAAAGGTATGCTATCAAGTCACTTCAGAATATCAGGGATACATGCTTTTTTATTTTTCTAAGAGAAGCATACAGGCAGTAAGCAACACCTGCACAAGTTCAGGAAATGTTTTGCTAGACGAGATCTCATACTTGTCAAGTTGTCAAGCTTTTCTGTGATCTTTTGAGAAAAAGCTACTCAAGACAATAAGGTATGCTCTCTTGCTACAAGTGTTTAATTTAATATTGGGTATTCTCTCTTGTTACACTCTATAGGTAGAAAATACACTACACCTGTAAAAGCATGGATCCTAGACTCTAGGCTGGCTTTCACTTAAAATTTAAATAAAACCCAAGCACGGACTTATCAGGATGGGTGACTGCAAAGAGGCTACACCACTCATTACATACTATGAAGTAACGGATGTACAATTTCACAGCCTTCCCTGTCTTGGCTGTTGTACCTGGTCCCTAAATGATTATAGACTAACATTTCCAAACCAGGATGACTATATCCAACAAGAGCTGCAGGTGTTTAGAAGCTGAGAATAAAAAGTTTTATTTTAACGTGTAGATAGAAGATAAGAATCTTCTGTTAGGTTCAAAAGTTCCATAACATATGTGCCCTATTACCCAGATTTAAAAATAACATATATTTGTGCTCTATGTTGGGTGACTATGAGGAAGCATTTGTTTATATTTCAAGCAGAGGAAAGCATCTCTCGTGTTAAAATACTACAAGCTAAGTTTCATTTTTCAGAAGAACACACACAACAAAGATGCCACAAGAGAGGATGTGCACAGAAGGAATAGAATGCACGCACACATATGGAAAATATGAGTGGTGGCAACAAGAGACCAACTGGAAGGGCAAGTATGTAATCTACATGATCTGAGGAAGGCATGATCTGAGTTACAAGCAGACAGGCAAGCCAATGAGAAAGTACATCAGTGTCTATCTGCTCTTAATCAGAGAGGTTTAAATCCAGCATGGCTGGAGACATTGAAAAAACTTGTTTAAACAGAAACTTATTTCCAAGTTAATACAAAGAGAATAATTTAAATTAAATACACCAGATGCAAATTTTTCCCTTGATAGTAAAAATACAGTGGGTCTGACCCTACTCCGAGCAATATGTAAAAATTAATGGAGAGAGGATTCAATGCAGAATGACGGCTGGTTCTGTAAGGCATTCTCCTCCAGCTACCACCTCAATCCTCTCTCACTCCCTGAAGCCCTCAGCCAAGCTGCTACCAGCCAGGCACTTGCCACACAGTGCCCTTGTGCTGTGCACCCACGAAGCCAGCAAAAGCCCATTTCCTAAGTCAGGCCGAAGGTGCCCGGCACCCTGCCCTGTGCACGCTGCCCTTCAGCCAGACCCACCCGGCCAGCCTCAAGCAGCTCTCCCCAAAGCTTATTTCAGCTCCTCCCATCATAAGGACTAAAGTGTGAACTTCAGCTTTTAATTTCCTAGCACACAAAACTTTAAATTGGGGTAATCCTCAGCCTGTCCCCAACCCTCCCAGATACTTACTGAAGCAAGAAGGTATTCCCATCACACAATACTCAGCATCCTAAATGGCACACTATGTTTCAAGGCAAGCCAAGTAACTTTGTTTTAGAGGACTTAGAAACCCACCTTTCCCTAGACAGGAGTTCTTGGAGAAGTCTAAGTCAACTTATTTTTAACTGTAGGCAAATCAGTTTTTCCTAAGCACACCAAAGAATTGTCAGCTGATAATGTAAAATGCAAAACAAGTTAACATCTTCATTTTGACTTTTTCCCTGCATTTCACAATCAAATGGCTCCTATCACAATTGCTATATTGGAAAAGAACTACGATTCATTTTAAGGAGAGCTAATAAAAAGCAAATAAAAACTAGGAATGTATTAATCAGTAACCGCTACACACACAAGTACAGCACACATTTAGTGTACTAAACATAAGTTACACTCGTTATTCATTAATCAGAGTGTACAGCAAATCAGTTCTACAACTCCACCTAATTCCACCAAGTCAGTAAAGGAGAGGGAACTAAGTGGTTCCTCTCTAAGAGTAATCACTGCCTATCAGCTGAGTTATTCCTACAGAACCAATATACCTAAACTGAGTATCGAATAAAACATTCCCAGAAAGTTGTCTTAGAGTACTGGCATATATGTCTTGGCTTGCATAGAAGCACAGCATTCAGTTTACAACACAGCATTGCTCAGCTTTGCAACGTGGTCTACTTACATGTTTGCATAAGCCTGGCTATGAAACAGGAGCTCATATGCCTATCATGAAGCCACATAAGTTAACACTGAAAATTATGAAGTAAACAGAGTTACAGATGTTTTCATAATAATCCAGGGATACTTACTCTGCTGGGGGTACTTGCCAATGAATACACCGATATGATTTGAGGATGTATGTGAGGGGATGCTGGGCAAAAAAAGTAGGTGGGGGAAAAAAAACAAAGCGGCCTCCAAAGCGGCCTGATACATGAGGTGCACAAAACACGGCAGGATAAAGAGAAGCTCTGTGTTTCTAGCCTGTGCTGACCCAAAGCATCCTGAACTAGGACACCCTTTTATTGGCTGCATCTTAATACGCTCACACAGCTCTTGTTACTGCCTTGGTGTGCAGGTCAGTTGAGCTTATAAGGTCCCTGATGTAGACTGCCTAAACAAGTCCATGTGTTTCCACAGCAACACTTGAGTCTACAAGTCTACATAACGTTTAGCACTTGCAGGACAACGGTTTTGACCAAGGATGCTAAAAAACAGTATCATCCAAGATGATTGGTAAAATGAATTAATATGCTGACTACTTTAAGATGCTCCACTAAGAGAATCTGAGTTAATTTTAAGAATCAATTATTTTGTTGACATATTATAAAATCAAAGAACTAACGCGATTCCAATTTCCCCACTATCTTTTTAGAACAAAATATCCTTGACAAACCAAACCAGTCATTGTATATCAGTACCTGTACATATCACAGGAGCTCATCTCACTTACATTTCCATCATGATTGGGGCAGGAGAGTGGTTTGCCCGCAGCAACAGCAGTGACAGTCTCCAAGATGGAGGACTCTTCAATGCTGTTGTCTGGCGTTCGTTGCAGGACATCCATCAGGTTGGTGATAAAGAAGTTGTTCTGGAGTGCAGAAACCCCTTTCTCTGGCAGAATGGAGGTCTGTCGGCACACGGGGCAAGAAAGGGTCAAGCTATGGGCTGGAATGTAATTCTGTAAGCACCTATGGGGAAAGAAGATGGAAGAGGAGAGAGAGAGAGAGAGAGAGAGAGAGAAAGAGGCAAAGTATCATCAAAGAGGAAAAAAGCTCCCTTCAGTTTAAGAACTGAGTTGAAATAGTGCTATCCCTACTTATAAAAGGAAACGTACATCACCAGGCTTCAGAAGTAATTGACTACAGGGTTTGGTTTTTTTCTCCTTTAAATATTTTTTCCTCTGCCACATGAAAAAAAGTTCAAATAGATGACATCACTACAAGAACTATGTGCCTTTCTTTGAGATATTTGTGCCGAGTGGATCCATGTTTCCAAACATCTACTGCAGCCTGCTCACAGGATAGCAAAAATTATAAACTATCAGATAAAGTTTGACAGACATGAAGTTATTGGATCAAGTATTTGAGCCTGTGTCTTTAACGGACTGACCGGTGGCTGACCCTTGTCTTTCCAATAAGGCTTTATTAACTTGTATTTGTGGGTTTAGTGCTTCAGAGCTAAAACCTGGTCCCAATGAAACCAATAGAAATTTTTTCATTTATTTCAATTAGGAAAGTTATTTGGCAGTTAGACAGAATCAACAGAGCTGTCTTTACTACATAGAGAAGCATGTCCTATGTTATCAGAGTTTATGTTAAGGGAAGTTTTGGAGGAGATTTTTGTTTGTGTTTGGGGGGGGGGCTGTTGGGGTTTTTTAAAATAAAAAACCCGTATTTCACAGAATATAAATCTGACACAAAAATTCTGTGATTCTGTGACAATATGTCCAGGTGAAAGTTAGTGCCACTTTTGGCCTTGAAAATCAAGTTAACAGCTGCTGGGCATGCACCACCCCACTGCAACTGGCAATTCAGTATAGTCCCATAAGCACGGGAAGCTCTGCAGAATGAGGTTCTTCAGTAGTCTAAAAGGGGAGCAGCGCTATACCAAATTCCTCATGAGGTGCCAAGCAAGAAATCATGACCTCGCACAGCTACACAGCTCTTATCCACTTCCAGGGGCTTTGCTAGCACCTCTCTTCATCCTCCCTTGGCAGCTCTACTGACGTCCCAGTAAGGGCTCTGTGAAAGGAGAGCTTAGACTTTATACATCAGCAGTACACTGGAAGAGTTCCTCCAGCCTCTTTCCATAACCAGATCAGCATAAGAGGATTACAGTGAAAACCAGAAGCTGACTTTAGGATTTACATATGAACTGAAGAAACTTAAGACAAGGTGGTGAAAATCTTGACTTCGCTCACTTCAGTGAGAGTTTCACTGCTGACCAGTAAAGTTGGGGTTTCCTATTCTTCTACAAAAAACCATTTAATCTGACACACTCAGTCATCCATCATTTTTCTTGCACCCTGTGCAAAATTACATATGCACACAACAATTTTAAGAGGTGGAAATATTCTGAACTAAATGTTCACACAGAATACTATTTATTATAATTCTCATGACAGTCAATATATAATCCACAGAGTTGCATCCCATCATCAGATAAAGAACTCTAACCAACAATTCTTCAGATAACTTTTCTGCAGATGCTGTATTCTCTGCACCACTTGATAGATAATGCAACATTAAAGTATCACTAGGTATATTAAATTCCTTCAGCTGAACACAGTAGAAGGCAGCTTGCTGTTTTATCACATCTCTTTTCAGAGTTTTTCTGTTTCAGTCAACCAAGCTGCACGATAATGAAGACACTTAATCAGTGGCGATTAATAATGTATATATCATGTCTAACCCTTAGACATTAAAGGTTGGGATCATTATTTCTCTGCTTAGTAGATCAACAAAGAAAGGTTTTTATTGTTTCTAAATATAGACTAACCAGTACAAATTTGAGACTATTAATTTGAGGTCCAAATTCTGAGTGCCATCACCTTTCACACTGTTGTAACTGTATTCATTAGTTTCATTGGATTTACTTTTAATTTACTCTTGTATAAAGAGAATGTATTCCAAATATTCTGCTGCTGTCTCTTCCTCCTGCCTCCCATAAATAACAGTGGTTTTCTACATCCCTGTCTCTCCAGCCCTCCCAGACTTTATTGTGCCTGAACACGAACTCACAAGTAAAGAGAGAAGTCTCTATCCACTAAAGGGTGCAGAGTTCTGTGCTTGTTGCAAGACACAAATACCTGGTTACAAGCATGAAGAAAGGACTTACCTCTCACAGAAAGTGTGCAGGCAGGGAAGTACTTTGGGGTTCTTGTAACGGTCCAGACATATGCTGCAAATCAGAAACTGCTTGTCAATCTGACGGACCACAGGACTTGGGATGTTGGAGCCTTCACTGGCCATCCTAGACCACTGACATATGGGTCCTGTTCCCTTCTACCCTGCACACTGCTGTAGCAGAGTGGGGAAAAGAAAAAAAAAAAAGAAGAAAAATGGCTTATAAACTCCATGAAATAACAAACACCATGTGCAACACCTTTCTTTGCCTGAGCAGGCATTCTGGAAAGGCATGTTGCCCCTGGACTGAAACAGTTACAGGGCTGTCTGGTTTTAGAGAAATCCCACAATAAAAAGGTTTTTACGCCAGTAGGTTCAGCCAGTGGTAACAAACATAGGATTTCTTGTGTCTACAGTACTGCTGGCAAAACGCCTAAACTGGAACTACACTAGCCAGTCAAGTGGCTGCGTCACAGACAGAGTGAAGGAACCTCCAGAACCAGCCCCCCTGCGAAGGGACTGCTCAAATTCTGCATCAGCAATAGGGGTGAGGTAGGTGAAGGGAAAATCCTCATGGTAAAAGAAACTGAGCAAAGAAGAGGCAACTGATAGCTGCTGAGAATCAGCAAAGGTAGGGTGAAGGATACACGGAGCACATCTAAATAATAAATGCAAGAAAGATGGCATTCTAGGCAGAAAGAGTAGTAAGAATCATGTTTCTAGGACTGAAGACCCTTCACAACCCTGGCATAGAAAGCATGAAATAAAAGGCTAAGAAAAAAGCCTACTGACTGAACTAAAATTGCAGGTTAAAGGAATGCCAGCAGGCATGGACCTCCTCCTGTCCTGGAACAAGACAGAGGGAGAGAAAAACTTTGTTTCTTCTCAGCTGGAGGAACAGATTATAGCTAACAGAATGAATATGTGTAAAGAGAAGACAGGGGAGGAAAAGGAAGGAAGCAACCTCAAAGAAAAGTAAATAGCCTGCTAAAATAGTGCAGGAAAACCTGACAAGCAAAGGCCCCGGCAGGGTGGCCCAGCAAGAGCTTCCATCCATCAGCGTTTCTAGTGGGCTGGAGCACTGGGAGGTGCAGGCTCACTCCCCAGGGAGCTGACCACAGCATCTCTTTCTGCCAGTCCTCCCGCACCCACAGCAAAACAGGGGCTCCTCTTCCCTGTGAGCGCCAAGCCCAGCGGGGCTCCTTCACTGCAGGTACGCTCCTGAGGTAGTAACTTCTTCCCTGAACATTTTCTACCCCAGTTTTTAATCATCCATTTCAGGCAAAGTGATATTTGGCTTGAGGGCAGTTCAGGCTTTCCAAGACAGAAATAACAAGCCCTCTGCCTTGGTGCTGATCACACTCATTCAAAGGTCACTCAGTTCCACAATGATTTGCATGATCTGTAGTATTTTATTGGCAGCTTTACATCAGATCATCTTCCTGTGCTGAATGCACAGCACACTAGTCCAGCAGAGCTGAACTCACGCTGTTCTTCCTGAGCTCTGTATTTAGCCATACAGGTATGGTTGACTTACTGCATTGAGCAAGTGGCTTTTTCTAGGATAATGACAGCGATTATGGATCATGCCATACTGACTTCCCTGATAACAGGTTCCTGGGGAATCACCTCTGTGCTAGCAAATACAGCAGCATAAAGTTATTCACAATTAAAAAAGCCAACAGCAATAAATGACATGTAATTTGATGGAAAACACTTATGGCTGGCCCTTTGTTTCCTTTTTTCCCAAGAAAGGGGAATCCGCAAGGTTAAAAATTGCTATAATACTCGTAAAATATCATGTTTGTTCAAGAATCAAAAATGCTTGATTTCAGCATTGATCCTTTTTTCCCCACTTTTTTCATTTCTTTCCCCATAGTAAAACAAAATGTGAATATTACATAAATACAAAATAATTTTACCTATTTCAATGCCATAAATCACACACAGTAAACCTTAGGAGATCGATTAGGAACCTGTGTTACTTTTTAAAAACTTCAGTTAAAAATGGCTTTAGAAGAAGTGGGACCAAAATATCTAGCTTTCACAAAACAGTAGAAAGAGCAGACTATCAAATATGCATTAATGTGTTCATGCATTTGGCAGTATAAAATGCAGAACTTCAGCGATGTGTGTCAAACGCAAATTCCTTTCACCACTCATGAGGCTGTGTTTGCCTCCCATTCTCCCTACACAAAACTTAGGGACAGGGACCCAAACAAGACAGGCAAGATAATCAGAAGCAGGAAGACTTCTTTGATAAGAAGAACGCTGACACATTATGAACAGTATTTTTTTTGTGTGTTATAGACTAAGCACAGACTATTTAAAAAAAAAAAATACTAAGATATAAAAGAACAGGCTTCCAGTGAATGCTGCTTGTCATTTAACAGAAGAAAGTTCTCTAGCAACCAGATATTTTCTGTAATTTCATCTTTTCACTATCAAGTACAGCCACACCAGCAAATAGTGTTTATACAAGGAAAACTGCTGCCTGAAAAATTTCATGTTGATTTAATCAGATCTTCATCTTAGTATTTTACATTCCCTCAATCTCATTGTAAAATCAAGTGATTCTTTGTGTTTCATACACAAAGCTCATGTCAGCTACTTTAATTGTTGAACGTTTTAATGTTTAATTTTCACACTTTAAGCTCTGCCAGTGAAAGAAATCATTAACAATTCAGAAATAAGTGCTTTCAATATCTGATGTTTTGTCTGGAATGCAGCAGGCCATAATTGTCATTTATCCCCTGTGCTCATATAAAACAGGTTTAAAACATGCACCTGAAAACTGAATTTCATCAGTTCATTTCAAGCTTTGGTCACTGCATATTACAACAACTTCTTACACAAGTGGTTAATTTAAAAAAGTTTTTTGAGTATGGAATTTCCAGCTTCCCTGAGCCAACTCCACCTTTGATGCAATTTTGATGAATGTGATGTAACTATGAGAAGGATGATTTTGCCCATTGACTCAATGAAAGCAACTGTACAGCCAAAGACTATTTGAGGAAAAGCTGGAGATTTTAGATAATCCTTTTGAATTTGGACATAGATAGCTTTTGTTCTGATTTACTGCAGTGCTAGCAGCAGTTCCTCTGAACAGCAATGTAAATTTCAGATGTATTGACAGTGAGAGATTTCACAAAGTAACTATTTTTACAAGAAAAATGTTCTTTTTTGTAGTAGCATCTTCTGAGATGGGAAACTGATGGAGCTCTTTTTGGAGGTTCATTCTGTCTCACAATCTAATAAAGAGCAGCTGAAGCATGAATTTTGAAAATAAGTCTGAGAATTACTACTCCATATATTTACACTTCATAACTTAAAGCCAAAGGTTCATGAAACGTTGCACCAAACAAGACATAAACCCCTACCCATTTATCTCTAAGAAGCACACACTGGAAACGCAGTTTAGGTTTGCTATATCAAGTGCAGAAAAGGGTTCTGAAATGTATACCCTTTGTCATCCCTTTGGGGCTCAAGGATTGTTACCTTTCCAGCCACCTCAAAAGTAACATTATTCTTTTTCCTTCTGCTTGGAGATACGACTATCAATTTTCATTCAAAACACAACACACAGCAAAGAGAGAAGAAAACAATGGCTCTCTGAGCTAGTGGAAAGCTTTGCCCTGCTATGCATGCATGCCTTCAGGAACAGTCAGGGTGCGGCCCCACCCACATGAAAAGAACTTCCTACAGTATTAGAAAAGGGAAAAAAGCCGTTAGGGTACAGCAAATAACAGTTCCAGAAGAGCTGTTTCAGATAAATAGAGCCACATAATAGGAAAGCGCATCCTTTCTACAGGTGTCTTCAAAGGAGCTCTGGAATTCCTCATTATCCAGTTCTCTATTAGGTTCTGTGGGCTGGTTGAGAAAAACACATTGGGAAAATGTGCAACTGTCTGTTCAGTTCCCAGGATTTATTCCTACAAGAGCAGAGTTTTCTGTTGCTCACATACTGCTATCACCGAACTCCACCCAGTCAGAGCCGCAACCCGCCTGAAAGTACAGCCTGAGGAGAACAAATCGCTCGCAGCTTGTTCATCCTCTTCTTATCAATGGTATTCACAACCCAGAGGGTCTATTCATGTATTATGAATGAATAGGTTTCCAATGGCAACGTTTCCAAAGGGACCGTTAGGCCTCAGAGCTGTAAGAAAGGGTGGGGAACCTCAATAATGTTGCTTCAAGGACTGGGGGAGCTGGGGTTTAAAAACCCTTAAAACAGATACATTGCCTGTCCACAGTCTTTAGGAATAAAGAACAGATTCAAGCCCCTTCCAGCAGCAGCCCCAAAACTAGCCAATACAGAACACACCGAGCAAATTAATAATCATAACTGCCACACAATCCACTTCTGTAAAAGGCTTGATAAGCTAAATTTGCATTCCTTTTTCTCCCACTCTTGCAATCAGCTTGGTGCCTTGTTTCAAACACAGCCACCCTCTTCATTCTCACAGCATGCAGAAGCATAAAGAACAATCTGGGGCGAAAACAGAAGGAGCAACCCAGCAGCAGCCACCAGGAATAACACTGAGCAAACTTGAGTATTTTAGACCTACCCATCTTTGTAGAAAAATAGCTTAATCAGTGCAGTGCTGAGGATAAAATCCTTGCAGGGACGGAGCTGCAGTTCCGCAGAAATCCAAACGAACAAACCATCATCTGTTAATATTTCAAGCCTCACACGTAAAACTGTTCAAGAATCCCTATCACAGCACAGTCATTATTAGATGCACAACAGATTTTGTGCTCTAAGGGATGACGCTCCATTCCACGAAGAGGACAGGTTGAAAGAAAAATGGAAGAATAAGAGGAGGCCCAGTGAAGTCGTCATGAATTTTTTTCCCCCCGGTCATTTACAAGTGGGAGACCCCTTCAGGATTCAAACCAATCAATCTTTATTTAGCACATCTTTTTCTCACTCAGCCTGTGTAGAAAGACTGCAGCAAATGGTGCGAGGGATTGTGGGATAGGGATGCAGCAGAGAGCTGCAACGAGATTCGCTGGGTTATTTTTTTTCCTCCCTACTCAGCAATCAGCTGTTTCGAGGCTCCGCGCAGGCAGGGCCATTGAATTTGGTCACCAGAATGTTATTACAGGATTAGCAGGCGGAGACAGCTACCACTGTGCATCTGGCATGTCAATGCAGCTAAGAAATACATATGCAAATATTACTGGCAAATCGGAAAAAGGATTTAACTCCAAACGGGAGAGTAAATATTACGCAACATCCATTACCAGGACAGTTGCCACAGATGAAACGAAAGCACTTTCATTTATAAAGGAGATAAAGCTTCACACTTAGTGATTCCACCCTGATTTTTCCAGGATTTGGAGTATTTCTTGGAACATAATTATTCCCTGCTCCAACTTTCAGCAACAACAAAAGACCCCACAAACGCTGTTTTGTCTCTCCAGATGTTTAAAGCAGAAGCAAAGAACCTCTTCAGAAAGCTGTGCTACTGGCACACAAACCAGCAGCAGTTTCTTCTACTAGAGAGCTGCATATTCGACCCGACTCAGACTCAAGCCAAATATCTAAGGCAGCAATTAGTAAACACATATTCAAGGAATGCAAGAATGAAAGTTAACAGTCTGTACAACTTTTGTACAATCATAATTCAAAGGTGTATTCTCTTAGTTAATCTATTTACTTGTTTAAAAAAATTTAAAAATCACAGATAAATTCAGATTTTATTAGGCTATTATCAAAGGAAATAAAAAGAAATTTGGTGTCTGGCATTTTTCAGCTATGTAGAGAAGGTTGTTAAAAAGATACTTGTACACAGACACTACTGAAGTAAAGGAGCATAGAATTAGCTTTGTCTTCCAGTATAACAGCTGGTGGGTTTTGCAGACAAGGTAGTATTTGCATCTCTAAATACAGTGTATCTTTTCTTTTGAAAAAACAAATCATATGCAAGTATTTCAGCTAACTGAGGCTAACAAAGATTCCCACAGATAAAAGGACACAAAGGTCCATTTGCATCAAGAAGAAAAAATGTGGGGTTTAAATAGTGTCTGTGCTACTCTGACTTAATTAGGACACTTATAGTTATTTCAGAAGTTTAAAATGTTGTCCTAAACTCTTTAAGCACAGTTTCCATAATATAATATTTATTCCACTCTTGGACTGATGAGGTAAATAGTATTAATAATCACTTAGTATGACTGAAATGTAATCTACCTTCCTGTTAAAAATATAGATTCTGCATACATCATTTACTTTCCACCTGGCAATCATTTGGCCAGATTGGTTTTTAAGCATCAGGCAGATCCAGCCTGGTTTCCCTGGGTAATGCCCACAAGGTGAAAACATGTTGTAATCCAGTTTATAACCTGAAATGAAACATCAGGCAGTGTGTTTGTGCCTTAGGATTTTGGGTGTTTGTGCCAAAATACTGGTCCTCTGATTCCCTCAACATGTGCTGAACTCTGTCAAAGAGAGAGAAGAAGGTATGTTTTGTTTTAGCTCCAACATTCAGCATGTCAGAAGAAGCAGGCAACTACACAGCAGGATTCAGAGTTTAAAAAAAGGCCAGAGATTTCAGGTACATTTTTGGAGGGGTGGGGTTTTTTTATGTTTGGTTGGGTTTGGGTTTTTTTTAAACTGTCTAGAGAATTCCCGTTGCAAAAAAATGCACGAGAAAGCAACATATTTCAATCTCACAACAAGGAGATCCAAGGCCTTTTGTTTCTGCCACTGGAACAAAGACACACTTAAAACAAAAATAAAGAGAGACAATTCAGGAGTGGCACCCCCAGAACCAAGGTGGAAGACTCTCAGACAGAAGCATGCAGACATCACTTAGCTGCTTGCTTTTCCTTGCTCATTTCAAGCATCAAATTTACATACACTAAAACAGAACGACAAGTATTGCTCAAATTGCTATTTCCATTTAGAGTCAGTAGTAAGGACTACACACCCCTCAAATCAGACCCAATCCCATAACCTACCTCATGGCCAAAGGAGACTGCAGGAGTTACAGCTGCAGCCACTCTCACAGGGATCTACACCTCCAAAAGAGAGGTTGCTTCAAAGTTTTCCTTTAATTAACTCTTGAGAAGCTGCCTGCTGACAACGAGCTGATATTCTGCAAATAATCCTGCTGTAAGGACTACACACCCGTCAAATGAGACCCAATCCCATAACCTACCTCATGGCCAAAGGAGACTGCAGGAGTTACAGCTGCAGCCACTCTCACAGGGATCTACACCTCCAAAAGAGAGGTTGCTTCAAAGTTTTCCTTTAATTAACTCTTGAGAAGCTGCCTGCTGACAACGAGCTGATATTCTGCAAATAATCCTGCTTCTTCAACAAAACAAAAACACGGTACCATGGCAAAGAAAATTAGGCAAAAGTAATAGTGTTTCCCTTGAGATTTTTGTTCTGATGTGTTTAATGTTGATATGTGGGTTTCTTCTCCCTAGCGAAGAGGAAATGGATAGCTCTGCGAATAGCCTTGCACTTTAACCCCACAGGAGTTACTACCAGCCTGATTCAAATAGGTTTATTGTATGTGTTTGTCTTTTGAGCTGGGACATGGGAATGGGGGTTGTTGTTATGTGCTTGCATTTGGGTTTGTGTTTTGCTTTGCTTTTTTTGTTTGTTTGGTTTTGTTGGGTTTTTGTTTTGTTTTGTTTTGTTTTTAAACCAAAACTAGTAAAGAACAGGCTACTTTCCCTCAGAAATTTGCTGCACTCATCATTGCTGCTGACTTATCTGTATCACTGCTGACTAGTAAAGTTCTGGAGAATAAAATATATAGCACATGCCATCTTCATAGTGCCATGGAAGAGTGATCTAGCCCCTATTATCTTCCCCTGTAGGTATCATATTTTTTAATAATTTATTCTTTTCCCTGTTCCAAACACAACCTGAATTCATATTTTTAGGGAGCCCGTAAATAGTAAGATAGCAAAAAACCCCACAGCTAATTACAGACCATGGGTAGATATTGTTATATCCTTCCTTAATATTAAATAAGGTATCCAAACACTCCAGGTTAAGATTAATGGTCTGCACTGAAGCCTCTACTATAAATTGACCGAAGGGAGAGTAGTGTAACTCATCCTGCTGTACAAAAGAGATTTTAAGGTCAGCAGAAAAAAAAAATTATTGGGTTAGCTCAAACTAAATGGCTAGCTAATACAGTCCTGGCAATTAGGACTGACTGGAAAATAAGAAGTAAGAGAGACCAGAAATCAATTATTCAAAGCTGACAAGCTGGGAATGAAGGCTAGTTTGGGAACAGAAATATGGGAGAGGATGGGCTGTTACAGCCATCACCCAGCTCCATATCCTTAATTTTACCTAGTGCCAGGAAAGCAAGTGGGGTGAAACAACCAAGCTCTGTCATTATGGGACCATGCCCACACCAAGAAGCAGGGGGCCTTAGTCATCCTCACCAGACAGCGGTGGAGGAGGTGCCTTTACCTTTTCCCACTGTGGCTGTGCACCCATGCAGACCCAGCAGCTCCTGCAGAGCAAGCTCCACATTCTCTAATAGCACAGGCTGTAGTTCACATGGGCTCAGAAGAGCCACAGCTTCCTCCCACTGTGGACTCGTAGCTAGAGGGCACGTCTGCCTGGAAAGGAGGTCTTCTAGGTCCTGGTTCCTCCCCACCAGCCACAGCCTGGAGCCAGGATCACTCCCTCATCTTGTGATCCAGCAGAGTAGATGCTTTTCCCTGAAGCTTGTGACCCAACACGTGGTTTGTCATAGCCTGGGAGGCAAAGAACTTGAAAGGTTTGCCTGGGATGTAATGCTGGGCTGCTGGAGACCTTCCCAGCGCCCCCAGCACCTGTCCCCCTAGGCCTTTAACACCTTATTCTATTTCCTTCTACCTTCTGCTTACACCTAGTTTAGCTTGCCAAGGTTGTGGCTTTTGTAGCACAACTGCTGCCAGGCTGGCACAGCCTGGCCTCCCTGCTCAGCCAGCCCAAGCTGTGTGACTTGTGACTGCACTCCCTGCCTGTCTCCAGCACTGATACTGCAAGTCAGGAAGCACCAAACAAACTGCTTTTCTCCTCTCTGGGCTTTTCCCTCTTTCCCCTTTTAGGTACTTGCCACTGAGGTGGCAGGGCCAGACACTATGGTCACTGGAAACAAGCTCTGTATTCTGGCATTTCTTCTACATGTCAGTGGGCTCACCTTTAGTACCACTGTCAGATGTCGATGTAGTGAATTAGGTTTCTTTTAACAGCTTTCAACAGCTAAAGGCACAGGAATAAAAGGAATAGAAGCTATTGCTATAAATTAAAGCCTTGCTTAATAGTTCTACATGTTTAATGCTTTGATGCTTTTTCCTCCTTCCTTTCATCAGTCTATAATCAAAACTTATAACAGGGTGAGCACCTGAAATACATGGGTGGGCCTTTTCATGAGTACCTCATCAACCTACTAATGCTTTATACTCCAACTGGTAGAGGAGGGAAGCATTATGGCTGGCATATAATACCCCCTTTTCTTCTCCCCATCCCCATGACTTCTGCCTGCCTCTGCAGTACCCCTTCTCCACCACCCTTTACTGGTACAATAGTCCTGCTTCCATCCCCACAGACTCCATCTCCCAGCTGTCCTATCCTTGGATGGACAGGGGACCTGCTGGTAGCAGCTTTTCACACACCAAGGGACAAGACTGGCAGGTTAGAGCTTGTGTGATCACAGTCATCACTCAACTGAGTTGTGATACTGACTTCAAGGCTGTTTGTCTGTCTGAGGTTTTCAGTACCTCATTTTGGGTCAGGGCCTTGCACAGTAAATTCTAACACACTTGGAGTACACTGGATTTACTGCACATACAAGGACAATTTGAGTGCTTGCAGTGGAAGCCCATGAATCCCCAGTCAAATGGACAATGTTCTCACAAATGAGATTTCAGAGAGGGGGTAGGAAATGAGTGGAAAAGGGCATGTCAAGTGAAATGACAGGATTAAACTGTCATATATCAGGTTAAATGACAGCCTCAGAGCTGTCATTTAGGGCCCTTTCCATGTTTAATAAAATATCATATTCCCAGGTGAGCTATTAAAAAAAAAATCTGCAGTGAGGTAGGTCTAAGTAATAATTTCAGGGGCTAGATGTTGTGCAGGCCTAAGTAAAAGGATTTTAAATTGTACACTTGCCATCCAAAGCAGCAAGTCAGAGCGTCTATACTGAAAACTCCCCACCCTGATTAACTACGTAGTGTTGTTAACATCACCCTTACAATTGTACATTTTTTACTCTCTAGGCCTACCTATTTTGTTAACTCTGACAGATCTCTGTTCAGCCTTTATAGGTACACAGGCTCAAATAAAACCAAGCTGAACTGGCAAATAATTAAAACTGCACATCAAATCACTGCTGCTTCCATAAACATCTGCTCTGAAATGCTACTTGAAATAAAAGTGCTCCACGGAGACTCCATACTAATCACTGATAACCCCTCCAGGCACATGATAACAGGCAGTACA